CGACTAAGGAATGCTGAGATCACACGAGCACCCGTGCCTAGCCCGTAGTCTAGCTCCCGTTGTAGTAGTTTATCTCCGCAGAAGTTGGACTCAAAGTAGTCCGACCAGCGGATCTGTCGCGAATTGAGATTTGGTTGGGCGCGAAGGTACTATAGTGATTTGTGATCTGTGCATACTGCCACGTCTGCTCCGATGAGGTAGCATCGCCACACTTTGAACGCGTGCACAATCGCCAACATCTCGCGGTCGTGTATCGGGTAGTTGCTTTCGGGCGAGTGAAGCTTGCGGGACTCGTACGCGATTGGCTGAAGGTCGTTCCCGAAGTCCTGCTACAATACTGCTCTCACAAAGATATTGCTTGCGACGGTGACCAGTTCAAATGGGCGGTGTGGATCAGCAATGTGCAGTACGGGCGGCGAGCTCAAAATCTTCTTGAGGGCCAAGAAGGCAGCTTGCTCTTTCTCCCCCCACGTGTTCTCAACCCCCTTCTTCAGTAGGTCAGTCAATGGGGCGGTCAGCTTCGCCGTGTCCGGGATGAACCGGCGCACGTAGTTGACAAACCCCGAAAAACTCCGTAGCTGGGTCAGATTTGTCGGCGCGTGCCAAGCTTGAATCGTCGCGATCTTCTTTGGGTCTATTTCCACTCCGTCAGCTGAAATAATGTGTTCCGAAAATTCCAGTCCGTCCTGTAGAAACTCACACTTCGTCAGTACTCAGTTCTCACTCAGTATTTTTATAACTGCTTCGATGTCGAGTAGATGTTGTGCTATGTCTGTGAATCAGTATGTCGTCCAAGTACACGATGACGCACTTATCTAAAAGCGGGCGGAAGCCTTTGTGCATCATCATTTGGAAGGTTGCAGGGGCGTTGGTCAAAACAAAAGGGCATTACTGTATATTCGAGCAATCCGTAGCGTGTTCAGAAAGTTGTTTTCAGGCAGTCGTGTGGGTTGACACGGATCTGGTGGTAACCTCCTCGAAGGTCGATTTTCAAAAGTACTCGGACTGTGCGCAATTGGTCGATCAGTTCGTCGGCTCGCGGGATGGGGTAACGGGACTTGATGGTTACTTAGTTCAGTGCGCGGTAGTCGATTCACATGCAAAATCCCCCGTCTTTTTTCGATGTGAACAGGATCAGTGCTGCGAAGGGTGACAATCTCGGGCGAATGATTTTTTTTTTCGAACAGGTAATCCAGCTGCTTCCGTAGTTCGTCTAGTTCGGGTAGGGTGAATCGGAACGGTCACTGTACTATCAGCTATGCCCCCGGTTCTAGTTCTATTCTGTGGTTGTGCGGCCACTGAGGTGGCAGTCCTATTAGCAAGTCGTCCGTCGAAGATCCCACTATACTGCTTCAGTAATCCTGCTAGATCATCCAGTACGTCGGCGAGCAGCTTCTGTGAATCGCTTCTCTTGTCTGTTGCCTCGGCTTCTCGAATGTCGACCGCATACACGTTAGCTTCTGTAGCTATGGCGCGTTTTATTGTGATCGCGTTGTTGTTACCGTTCACTCGCACAGTGTAGTCGCCCGTCATCTAGTCGATTCGTGGGCTGTGTCGTTGCAGCCAATCACGGCCGAGTAATATGTCGGTTCCGTCGAGGGTTGTTGCGAGCATTTCCTGGCTAAATGTGAAGTTACCCCCGCATCTTATCCGAACTCGGTCCACACGTTCCCGTAACGCGAGTGGCGTGCCATCGATCAGTCTTGCGGCAATCTCATGTGAACACCTGTCCAGTGGCGGTTTCAGTTTCCGTGTTGTGGAAGTGTTGATGAGGCCGTGACTGGCTCCCCCGTCTACGAATATTTTAACTAAGTCTGTTCCAATTTTCTCACTAAGCAGTATGGGGCTATCTACTACGGTACCCTCCTTATTTGGCCGGGTGTGGTCGATTGTGTGAACCGGCACGATCACTCCGTGAGGGTCGGTTGGGTCAGGCGAGCGGCGTGACTTGTCAGTAGAGGGCCCGTCTGCTACTGACTCCCAGCGTTTCCCTGCTGCTCTGCTTCCCCCTTTCCCTTAGCGTTTTCCATGAATTCGCTCTTGCGGTGTCCCGGCCTGTTGCACGCAAAGCAACGCCCTTTGAACGGTGCGGCAACGGCATTTGCTGCGACAGCACGTATCGTGGCGTGCTCGTTCGTCCCACGAGATAGATGTCCCCAGTTGTTGTTGCTGCCGTAGGACCCCGGTCTCGGTCGGCGTAAGAAGTCGAGCTTCTCCGCCATGGCGAGGATGTCCTGGAATGCAGTGACGTTGCGGAGCTAGATTTCTTGCGCAATTTCATGTTTCAGGTCGCCAATGTAGCAGTCAATGCGTTCACCCTCGTGCATATAGCCCACCTGCTCGCACAGCGCCAGGAACCCGCTGGTGTAGCCATGGACAGCTGGTGCCAATTGCAGAGCCTCTGACGCGCCACGATCGAAGCTGCGATTGGCTCGAATCGTGTGCGCAGACCTGCGCACCACGCGTCCCACGTGCGATATTGGGGCACCTCCAGGAAATACGACGGTGCCCAGGGTCTGGTTTGTCCTTCCCGTGTCGGTAGAGTCGCGTAGTCCACCGGCTTCGTGACGATGGCGTGCTACTAGTCCATGGCGGGTCCTCGCAGCAGCGACACGGCGTAGCGAATCTTCGCCGAATCGTCCGAGACGTAGTTCGCGTAAAAAAACACGTTCATGGTGAATAACCATGCCTGAACAGTAGGACCACCCCGTTAACTCGGGTCAAAGCAACGCGGACGCCGCAGCTTTAGCGGCATCAGCGACGCCAGTGCTGAGTCGCCGTTCGGCACCGAAATCGTAATGCGAGGTTGGCTTCTGGCCGCATTCGTCGCTCCGGGGTGTGTCGCGCCGTGGTCATCATCTCCATCGTTGCGGGCGATGCCATCACTAGCCGCGCTCGAGGGTTGCCCCGCGCTTCCATGTTGTGATGCCTGTCGTGCGGGTTGTCCGTGCGTGCCTTGTGTCTGTGACTGTGTCTATTGTGCTCGTGCGCCGTCGTTTTGCAGGGACGTTCGTTCAGCCGTCAATGCTGCGATTTCCTCGGAATTTTCGCGCAGTTGCTGCAGCAGTTTGTTCAGTTGCTCCTGCATGAGACTCATGACGTCGATATGCTCGGCCATGTCGAAGGGTGTCGGCTCAGCTTAGTTCTAAGCGCAGTCGTGGCCGCACGCGTTTACAAGAGAACGCGAGAACAGCGGCTCCTGGGTGCTAAGGGGCGTGAGTCCCTTCGAGCAAAAATCAGAAGTTCATTTCTCTTGTTGCGGAGATGCGCGGTCCGAAGGGAAGGTGGCTCTGGATACCAAGTGGGTGCAATAGAACGAGTTAGCAAGGATTGCACTATGTGGGCAAAGGATATAAACTATGGGTGAAGGAATGAGCGAATACTTATGTGCGAAAACATGCAATGGTTACGCGGTGCGTGAGAGCTAGCTAGTGCTAGGCAAACATCGAGGTTTGGGGCTAGTCTCAAAGCGTAAGCTGACTGAGCTGTACCAGCAGTGCATGGTTTGGTGAAAAAAGTGCGTGCGAAGTTGGCGAAGCCCCGTTAGCAGTAACGCGCGAACAACGGCTGCTGCTGTACGCGATGTTGCAGGTCGCGGTAAGGGATGTCGAGAAAATTCCTTACACCTGACAAGTATGTACCAAAAATAAGCATATATGTTTTTTGTATGGTGGTGATAACCTAGTAAAACAAAAAATCTTGGCTTAGACCAATGCAAAACCTGGTTAGAGGCTTAGAATGGCATGAGTTGGCTACTGGATGCTAGAAACAAAATGGTTAGAAACCGTATACGATGTTGTATATTTCAATTCAGATTATAAAATTAGTATTATCGAGAAAAATACCAATTCGCTACAGCATCACGCAAAAACACCCCTTCTTCTTTCATGGTGGCCCAAGCGCCATCCACCATGATTCCATGCTTGGTCGACCAAGTAAGAAACGCCTTCAGTTTTTTACCCTGCAACCTACCTACAGTCGTCCACATTTTCTGCGAGCATGCAAGCACAGCCCTACTTGCCTCGAGCGTACACTTCCTATTTGTATTCCTAGCTGCGAGATTTTTAGCAGGTGTGCTTGGAATGGAGCGCCTCAGGCTAGGCATAGCCATAATTTCCTGTAGACACGCATAAGTGTATGTCATGTTTCTCGCCGGCAGCTGGTTACCAAGTGTAAGGGCCCTGGCATCGAACAGTGAGTTGACGATGAAGAAGGACGATCGGACGAACGGGAGGGAGTACTCTGGGAAGAAGCAGCGCCACTTCTTGGTCTCGTTGGTGGCTGTGGGAAGGGAGTGGCAGGATGAAGAGAAACTATGGCAGAAAGCATATTCAGAGAGCGATGGAGGAAGGAGGATCGGACGAACGGGAGGGAGTTACTCTGTGAAGAAGCAGCACCTCTTCATGGTCTCGTTAGTGGCTGTTGGGGAAGGGAGTGACAGGATGAAGAATTGACAACGAGGGACGATTTGAAGGACGGGACAGAGGGCGTGAAGGGAAAGCAGCTTTCGGGAGGGATGGAGAATGGAAGCTGCGGCAACACACTGTAACACAGTGATTTGGATGGACTCGAGGGGGATGAAGGCGAAACGAGGCCATGCGATGTGATGCGACAGTGATGGAGTTCTTACCTGAGAAGGAAATGAGGACTGCAAGTATCCATATATATGAATCTTTTGGTCAGAAATCTTGCTACAAACATATATGAATTGCTGATATTGACAGGAATACCCCGTCAAGTATGGTTCTTGTGTACAGGTGCCAGCTCAGCTCAGCCACCGCGGCTGAGCCACGTCAGCATCCAACTCCTTGCTAAAAGCAAGCAATTCATATCCACCCGTGGAAGCGCTTGCACTCTCACCTCTGCTGCATCGAGGGTCACCGACGAAATCATGCAGCACAGACAAGTGCTGCAGCAACCCTTTATACCCCCGCTCGCCTGCCGCTCACCTCTGGACGCACTTCCACTCACCCCTGAAAGCACTTGCAGCACTCACTCACCTCTGCTGCATCGAGGGTTGCCGACAAAGTCATGCAGCTCCGCCACCTGCTGAATCCTCTTGCGGAACGCTGGTTGTTGGTCCACGTCCAATGCGTCTGCATGAATGGGTGGAGCAGAAGCAACCGAGTCAACAAGAGTCAACAGGTTCAAGCAGAGTCAGATATGTGGTCGTCCACACGAAGTCATGCAGCTCCGCCACCTGCTGGATTCTCTTGCGGAACGCTGGTTGCTGGCCCACGTCCAATGCCAGTGTTTGGGTGCTAGGTACACAAAGAAGTGAGACAGAAACAGCCAAGTCAAACTGAGTCCACTGGGTCAAACTGAGCCAGTTGGAGTGAACAGGGCCAAACTGAGTCAGACGGAATCCAGAGGCCACAGATTCAAACAGAAGAGAGTCCGCTCAAAGAGAGTCGGTCACCCGGCTCAAAGAGAGTCGGTCAGTTTTTATCTGGTGAGAAGAAACGAGCAAGCACGAGCCACTTGGTGGTGGAAGGGATGCCAGGGCTATCCATGAAAGTGGGACAGATTTCTTACTAATCATGTGGCACTTGGTGGCTGAGGAATGAGGGGAGAAAGCAGGGTGAGGAGAGCAGACTCACAGAGGAAGAAGGCTGAGTCCATGAGGTTCCTGGTGGCTGAAAGGATGGTGGAATCCAGGAAGTGAGGATAGAGAGAGGGGGGAGTAGGCTCACAGAGGAACAAGCTCGAGTTCATGAGGCACTCGGTGGTGCAAGGGAATCTAGGGCAGTGTATGAAAGAGGAACAGATTTCTTACCGAGGAAGAATCCTGAGTCCATGAGGCACTTGGTGGTGCAAGGGAAGACAGAGCAGTATCTATGAAAGAGGGGCGAGGGAGAGAACGCACCGAGGAAGAAGCCCGAGTCCATGAGGCACTTGGTGGTTGAAGGGAGGCCAGGGTTATGCATGACAGAGGGAGAAATGTCACTGAGGGAGGGGAAATGTCGCACACCAAGTCCAAGTCCATGAGGCATTTGGTGGTGGAAGGAAAGCCAGGGTTATCCATACCAACATGACCCATTTCTCACCGAGGAAGAAGCCCGAGTCCATGAGGCACTTGGTGGTTTTGGCGGAGGGCACGAGGGCGGGCAGCTGGTCGCACAGAGTCACCACCGCCTCTGCTCCCGCCGACACCCCCGACAGCAGCACCTGGGAGGCCGTCTTCAGGCCCTTGAAATCTGTCACGTCTGACCAGATTCACACAGGTCGTTGGTGAAAGAAGTCTTTGAATGTGGTGCAATATATATTTCAACAGAATAGCCAGCAGACGAGTTTTGGGCTTCTGTACAGAAAGATTGAAGTCACAGGGAAAGGAAAATAGGACAAACGAGCATATTGACACGAAGAGAGCATGAATGTTGCAATTCATTCTGGGCGATGCTGAACTTGTAAGTCACGGTGAAAGATGATGTAAGTTGATTTATGCAGTCAAGGGAACCCTGCAAACAGTCTCGGTGATTTCAGAAACGAGTAAAATTGGACCTCGGGAATTGCGAACACACCTGTGAGAACAGCTTTGATGATTTTCCAACCATCCAAATACACTCCCTCGGTCGCGCTCCAGTTCTTGAACCCCGCCCGCCCGGCAAACCCGCCGCCATCGCAGTAAATTGGGACCACAAGATTCCAATTGTAAAAACGCGGATTCATGACGGGATTCAGGCTGAGAATCCCCATGTAACCCCAGTTCGCCTGCAGGCAAGGGTGTAACAATTTCATCGTGTCGTGGTCCAGGCGGAGGGCGAGCATCACCCTGCCCTAGATGTCCTATCTGGAACAGTTGCTCACCCTCTGTTCCTCCAGCAACGGTTACGACCGTTACGGTAGTATATGCTTGTTCACTTCGGTGATACTTAACATTAAACATAAAAAAAAAATCGTATCATGTTTCTGCAACTGGTAAGAAGAAAGCAGTGATTCTAGAAAGAGTTATTAATGTAAGAATTGAAATTAGTTTGTGAGGTTTTGTGCTCAACCAGATTTGTGCGAATACCTTTTTCACGCTTAGTGACAAACTGTTTCAAGTCAGCACTCACGAATTTCCACGGGTTCTGGTTTTGCAAAGTCTCGTTAGAAGAGCCGAGCCACGTGTGGCTGCGCCACCTGCAGTCCCCCAGGGTGTTGCACCACCCGCCGTACTGCAAGTGCACATGCCATGAGCTGCTGCCGTTGCCGAATCCGGGGCGGAAATAGTACCCTGGCGGACTGAAGTTGGGGTAGAGGGAATCGGGCGCGGAAGTTGGAGAATTTGGGGGACTGAGTGACGGATCCGTACTCTGGCGATGAGCGCGGAGAGAGGAAGGAGGGGGGAGGTGGGAAGGAAGCGGGGTGGCAGGAGAGAAAAGGGAGGGGGGAGGGGGGGGAAGGGGGGAAAGAGAAGGGAGAGGGGAAGGGGGGGGGGGGATGTAGACCGGAGTTAGCGGAGTGGAAAATGGGGAGAGAAGGAAAAGTACCCTAGCGGACGGTGGGGGATAAGGAGGAAAAGTATAACCAAACGAGATTGCTGCTGCTTCCGTACGATTGTACCTACGGTCGGCGTTGAACGCAGAGCCGTAGACGGCTCGTGGGGTGCGGGGTGCGAAGTTCAGGGTGCGAATTGCAGGGAGCGAAGTGCGGGGAGCTAAGTGCGGGGCGTAGAGGAGAGAAGACTAGCGGAGAAGATTGACAGTCTAGTCAACCAAAAGTCATCTGAGGATCACCAAGGCCGGAGAAAAGTGCGCACAAAGCCGCATGACCCAGTAAATATACCAGGTGTTGTATCTGAGGGGGTATGTAGAATGTGAGGGAATCAACCAGCTGTGTGTTGTACTGATAAAGACTGCACGACTGCAGTCCGAGCCCAAGCCTGGACAAGCTGTGTGTTGTTACATGACTGTCCAAGCCTCACCCTGTCGGCCAGAACAGCCCAAACTACTAACCTGCCGTCCAACACTGCCCAAAGTCGCCAACCTGCCACCCGACACGGGCCAACTCTTGAGACGTCTCAAAAGTCACCTGACACAGACCAAACCACGAGGTGGAATTTATATCGCGTGCGTATCTACGAGTAGCTTACCTGCCGTCCAAGCATTTCGCGCCGTATCGGTTGTTGGGTAGCAGCGTCAGCGTCAATCCTGTTCCGGCAGAAACGACTGGTCCCGATATCGATTGTGTCGGCCGATTTTTCCCCTTCCTACTTGCGGCTTCAACTTCGAAAGTTCTTGTTTTAAGACATAGCACAGTCATCAAAAGCAAAACGCTAATCCTTCGGAAATGTCCGGACAGACGTCTCGGCATCCTTGAGCGATAGTTCTTGAAATATAAGTTAGGGTACGATATTCTTCTGCGCGGGGATTGAAGTAACTAACGGGTCGGGGTACCCTTGAGCGTCTCGTCACTATCGTTGGGTCATCCCACACTTGGACAGATCGTACGGTCGTCGTCGTTACGGCGTCGAGCTGGCGATCGCGGTCGAGCTACAGAGGCCTCGCAGGGCGAGCTGAAACGGCTAAACGGCTTGTGATGCTGAGCGACAGGCAGCCAAACGGCTGGTGATGCTACGTGTCAGGCAGCTAAACTGCTGGTGATGCTAAGCGACAGGCAGCGATGCTAAGCGACAAGGCGATGCGAAGCGACTGGCGGTATTCCGAGCGGGCCGATACAGCGACTGGTGATGCCAAGCCGGCTGGCGATGGTCGTGGCTAAGCCGCAACTTAGGGGCTGAGCGGACTCATGGAAACATCTCTACTCATGGCTACAAGCCACTATCATGGCATCTTTGCTTAACCACCGATCCAGAGTCCCCCGAGCGAGCCGGGATGGGGCCAGCCAGAGACACGTACTGGGCAGAAGCGACGGGAATGACAAAAGTAGTACGGACGGCAAGTTCCACCACGGCTTGTGACAACGGCACCCCCGAGCGACTACTGCAATCCCCTGTGCTGAACTGCGTGTCTGGTTTGGTCTGACTGGAACTGCAGGGGGGTGAGCGCGGTGCGGCGCGTCTGTCATTCACGTTCTCTGGTTCCCCGGCGGTGAGAGCCGTCTGTCGTGCGTGGGAAATGGAGAGATGGAATGCTCAGTCAAGGCATGCAGTCGGAGTTCGAGCACATCAGAGGAGGAAGGGGAAGGGGGCACAGATTTTAGGACGCAGCACCTGTTTTCATTTTGTCAGGATCGATCGTGGGAGGAGATCGATGTGCCGCTTACACATTGCTCAGGGGGAGAGCGAGGGGAGGGAGGGAGGGATGATGCAAGGCGAATCAAGGTTGGCGAACTGAGGGGGGACTTTGGTCTGCGGGGTTTGGGATTGGAAGAAAAGGAATGGCGGTGCTCCAAATTCCAATTTCCAAAATGGGGGGAAAATGTCAGTACGCGCGGCTCGTGGATATGTTTTTGTGCAACGCACGTCCACCGCGCCGCAATGCTTTTCATATTTTTGTGAGTTCCACTCCTTTACAAAGTATGGCAGGAAAGTGTGTTCTACATTGTGACACAAAGTAACTCATTCATATAAACCTGGACATGGTTTTCCTCTCCCTGTATTTTTCTCATCCTTAGTGACAGTAAAAACAGTACATTAGATTATGATTGAGATCAATGATACTATATTGAGATATGCAACAGATGTTGTGCTTAAATATCTTTAACTTTATTTAAATATATAGAAAATTAAACGCATGTGCATGTGCCGTTTATACATGTTTGTTACACATACAATATATAAATGTAGCGAGAATTGCACAAAAGTGTCAAGCGAGTAGAATGTATAAGCGAAGGCATGAGCGAATACTTAAAGCCCGAGTCTAGAATGGCAAGGGTCCATAAATACTGAAATTGAAAAGGGTTGTGCAAAGGTTCACGAGAGAAGAATTCGCTAGAGGGAAGTGGCTAAGGCGGAAGGCTCAATCCTCCGAATTCCCGTGGGGTGGCGAATCCGATGGCTCAGGAATGTTTCCAGGTCGAATTCGGCTCCGAATCTCCGATGCTGGACGCATTATCGAGAGCAGACGATGGGATGGCAGTTGGCTTGTAGTGGCGACGTATGGGCCAAGTATAGACTGACGTGGACTGATGGGCTGATGTACCAGCCTGTCGGTAGTAGGAGATGGGCGGTACCGACAGGCTGGTACATGTGGCTGATTTGGAACGGTTTACAGTAGCAAGATCGAAGTTCCGGTACAACGGCTAGGCGTAAGTTTTGTGTGTCGAGTAGCACATAATCCCCTGACTGGTACGTTACAGGACGACGGTGGCGGTCGGCGTTCCTTTTAGCGATGATATTAGCTTTCTTTAATTGCGTCTGCTGCGCGGGTCTTGGCAGCTTGCAGGATCTCGACGAACTGTTGGGTTGTCCGGGCTCTGCGTCACTGGCACTGTAGGGTTTTGCTCAAAGTTCAGGTAAAATGGGGACTGCTGCGTCGTTGCTGACGTGGCGTTATTGTAGGTGAACTCGATCAGCGCAACTGCTGCCCCCTGTCAACTTATATTTGTAACTGCCTGTAGCTGTAGTTAGTGTAGTTATTTAAACTTTGTGTGGTGGTGCACCTTATGTGTTTCCTTTGCTATATGTACTTCGAGCCCTATAGTGAAGCACACATTCTCTCAACTTTTCTCAACTCACTCGATACTCTCCCCTAGGGCAAAACCCGCTCGACACCTAAGTACGGGCCTAGGCTACTAAGCCTAGGCCCTTCCTTTCAACTTAGCCTCTTATTCTAACATGTTATCGGAGCATTTTTACGACCTGGCCTGTGTGCCCGCCTTACGCTTCCGCGATGAGTTTTCGGTCGCGCGCCTAGGGCGCGTGACGATTTTTAATTAGTCCCGCCCACGGGTGTGTGGCTCCTTCTCTGCCCGTCGCGCGCCCCGTGGCACGCGACGGTGCCCTTCATCTGCCCATCGTGCGCCCCGTGGCACACGATGGTGCCCTGCTCGTCGTGCGCCCCTAGGCGCACGATCGGGCCCGTTTTCTTCTCCTACCCGTCGTGCGCCCCGTGGCACTGGCCCGCGACGGGCCTTTCCGCCCCTGCACTCCCTGGAGCCGCCCCTGACCCATCTGCACCGACACCTTTTCGCCGCTCTGCGGCTTTCTTCCTTCCCACCCCCCTCCTCCTTTGTCTCCCTGCATCCGTGGGGAGGAGGGTATGGGGGTGGAGGGTGTTGGAGTGTGGCGTCACCTCTCTCCCTTCCCCTCCTCCTTCTTTCAGTCCCACCGCTGCAGCTGCCGCTGGGGGGGGAGGGTGTGAGGATGTGGGGGAGCAGGGGGAGTGGTACCGGGGTGGCGGGTGTGAGGCAACATGCAGCCATCCCTCCACCTCTCCTCTCTTCCCCCTTTCTCTGCTGCTCCTGCAGCAGTGTGGGGGAGGGGAAGGAGGAGGGTGAGGAGATGGAGGGGGTGACCACTTAGTGTCAGCCCGCCTGCATTACCTGCTGTTGCTTGCCTTTTATTTTGCATGTGTACACCTGCAGGTTGCATTCTGCACATACTCATGCTGCAGGCAGTTATGGGGGAGTGTCAACTTATATTTGTAACTGCCTGTAGCTGTAGTTAGTGTAGTTATTTAAACTTTGTGTGGTGGTGCACCTTATGTGTTTCCTTTGCTATATGTACTTCGAGCCCTATAGTGAAGCACACATTCTCTCAACTTTTCTCAACTCACTCGATACTCTCCCCTAGGGCAAAACCCGCTCGACACCTAAGTACGGGCCTAGGCTACTAAGCCTAGGCCCTTCCTTTCAACTTAGCCTCTTATTCTAACACCCCCATGTCGTCGGGTCGTCGCACGTGTCACGAATCAGCTGCTCCATAGTCTGGTTTGTCCACTCTGTCTCACCGACGGTCTTGGGGTGGTACAACGAACTGAACTATCGCCGGGTCCCGAACTGCTCCTAGAGGTTCTTCCAGCAGATGCTGGCAAACTTCGTGTCACGGTCGGTAATTATCGCGGCTGGCATCCCGTGCAGTCGAATGACAGTGGCGATGAACAGCTGGGCGGTTTCTTCGGCTGAGTTCGATGTCCTGCACGCAGCGAAGTGGGCCATTTTCATCAATCAGTCGACGACGACCATAACCGCGTCGTTACTTCCAAGGCTCAAGGTAACCCCGTGACGAAATTGTTGAAGAAAAAGGCCCCGCCCTCGCTTGGGCGCAGCCGATCTTGCCGTCGACGGAAAGTTCTTGACGGGTTGGTCGAAAAAGTGGGCTTCTGCAGTTCGACGGAAGT